TGTAATAATATGATCAAGTATAAGACGAAGACAACGACAACGAATGAGATATGATAATAGATATTCTATTGCTTTGTTAATCGCTTGTTGCATGTTAACGAATGATAAATGATAAGAAATAAAAAAAAGGAAAAGTAGAGAAAAGAAAATATATGGCAAAGTAAGAATTTATTGTTCTAAAAAGAGAAAAATCACAAGAAATAAAAAAACAAGGCCATTATATTTCGTTTTGTTTTCAATCAAAATCTAATAAACTGTTACATTGTAAATTTGATGATAAAATAATAATCGCCTATAGGATGTGACATATGCAGAGGTTATCGTTTCTTTTTTTGTTTTTTTGTTACGTATTGCCAAAAATTAATTTTTTACTCGAAAAATACTTGCAGCAATTATTATATAAATAGGAATATTACACACACAAGTGAAAAACGGGAGTATAGATACTTTTTTGACTGTACAAATTGTATCCCTTGTTTTTGACAAAAAAAATAAGAATTAAATTTTTTCTATGATGATCATCATTCTCACTTTATACACACGTTTTGTATAACATAAACAAAATTTATATTCGTAATCAATGTTCGTCTGATCTTTTCTCTTTTTCTTCTATTATTTATTTTTTTATGTGCAAGTTTGTTTGTTGATCTACTATTTTTACTGATAGACATTTGTTTTGACCAACACTTTGTAAGAGACGACGGCCGACATCATATGAAAAATCAAAGGTTGTCATTTCTTTCGATCGAACAAAACGCAATTGAAAAACGTATCGATTTTTGTTCGATAATAATTTTCAGAAATTCTATTTTTTACTCATTTATATTCATGTGAAAGAAATTTGCTCATACTATCAATTAATTGTTCAAAGTGACGATGATACACGAACAAATCATATTATTTTGAGTTAGCCATTAAAAAATATCTCTTATTAGGGTTACTAATAAATAGATCTCTTTTTTTTTTGTTCGTCTAATTTAATGATGCTTTTAATATTAATCAATATTTCTATTGTCTCGAATAAATTAGTCTTTTTTCTACTTGTTTTCACCATATCAATAATATACACGATTGATTTTCATCATTTTTCTTTTTGTGTTCTTCTCATCTAATACGCTCTTTCAATTATGTGTGTGATGTACAATATTCGTCTCTGTCTCTCTCTCTCTCTCTCTCAAAGAATCTATTGTGATATTGAATTGTCCATGTCAAACAAAAATAAGACTAAGAAGAATCTCTTATTGTTCTACTCTTTACTTTCTCATATTCTGGAGTGTGTGTGATCCCGCCTCTCTTATTCTTCTTTTCCAAAAAAAAAAAACAAAAAAATTGCTTATAAGCCCCCTGCCTCTTTATTTATATCTATCTATATCTCCATTTTTATATCAAAAATGAGAAAAAAATTTTTTTTTTTTTTTTGTTCATTTTTTTCTCTTCGTCTTCTCTATCGTGTGCCATCATTCTTTTTCACCTTCACTTTTTCGTCCAGTTCTGTTCTCTTCTCTTCTTTTTTTTCTTTACTCTCTCTCTCTCTCGCTCTCTTTCTATTAGCACTTCTATACTTGCTGATAAAGATACCTCTCAATAAACGTCTAAACACTTTTTCCTGATACATATCACTCCAGTTATTTTTTTTTCTATTTCTGTATTTGACGCAATAATTACAAGTCAATTTCTTTTTATTTTGACGAAAATTAATTTCATCAATTTTATCTCCTGTTTTTTTTTTTCTTTCTCATTTTTTTTCCTTTTTAATTATTAAACTATTTTTTTATTTTGTCAATCGTTGATGTGTTATGTTTATACAACAATATTTTGACTTTAAAATTATTCTCATTTTTTACTAAAAATTATTACTTATCTATTATTTGTTCAACAGATTAAATGATTACTTTTTAAGTAACAGTTTGATCTAACAAGAACGAGACTATTTTCCGCATGTTTTATTACACTAGACCATCTTATCAGGTAAACATATTTCTTCTATAAATCATTTTTATTCTTATTTTGGACATAATATTCTTATTGATGCACACGTATTTAGCTCGTTTTGTCTGTTTTTTGTTTTTTTTTCCTTCTTTATATTATCACACATTTGAACATACGTTGGATGATACTTTCATGAAATAAGCAACAATTTGTGTTTCATTAGTTCATATGTTTTCAATCCAATTCTTTTTTCCATTTTATAAACTAAATCGTAGATTGAATTTAGTAAAAAAATGAATAATTAATCTTTTCAACAAAAAAAACAGAACGAATTTCTTTCTTCATAATTTAGTTGTATGTAGTAGATTATAGATACAGTTTATTGTACTGATAATATATATATATATATATATATTGTAATATAAATTATCGTTGTTTGCTTGATGAACAAGTGTATTTTTCTGTGTGTGCGCAGATTGGAATTAGAAAAAACAAAAAATAAAACCATTATAGAATAATGATTAAATTCATGGATATTTGACATTGATTAAAAGAACTCTTGTTATCAATTTTAGAAAATCAAAAATCAGCTATGATCATGGTTCTAGTGCATGAAAAATAACAAGTAAAAACACGCACATATTAATTTCTAACAATATACACATTTCTAATGCTTCATATATAATACGTGCATGAACACGCGTACATGCAAATAATTTACCAAACAAAAAAAAAAAAAAAAAATTGACAACTTTGTAAAACGAATATTTATTGGCTTTTTTGCTTTATTAACAATTGCATTAATACTAATCGACATTGTTGCTTGATTTACGTTAAAGATAAATATTTTCTTTCTAAAATTACATGAATTGGTAGATTGAACAAGGGAAACACTTATAGCTAATCTTCTAATATGTCACACTATCTCAGAAAATGAAGATATTCTAAAGCTGTTTGTTGAGTAATAGGTGTTATTTTGTCGTTATTCTCGTTAAAAAGGTGTCTGTCAGTTTTAAAATAGTAATTTATTCAATAATGAGAAATTTTAGTTTTTTTGAGTAGAAATCAAACATACTGAGATAAGAACTGTAAATCAATTTGATTTTTACATTAGATTTAAAACATTTGTGTTGAAACAAAAAAATTAATCATAGGAAGACTTCATTTTCTGTTACTCCAAACGTTTTATGATAAAAAAATTTTTTTGTGACTTGGACGTATGTTCATATGCACTTTACCCGACGATTAATCGAAGTCATAAATGCAATGAATGAATTTTATTTGAGATCAAATTTATCTACTGTCAGTCGTTCAAGAGATTTTTTTTTCTCTTTTCATTTCATGTTTTAATGTCTTCATACCCTGAATCAAAATAGATCGGGTTTACGAGGTTATATCTACATTTCAATTTTTACAATTTGTTCAGATTAGAACACGTTATACCTTCTTATCACTTGATATTTTTTCAAGTGTCAAATGTGATTAACACATTGTCTATTTGCTAACAGGAAAAAAGGAAGAGAGAGAAAAAAAATAATAATAATAATAATAAGTGGTTGTTTTACATTTCTTATACTACGGTTGGTCGTAAATCGGAAAATTTGACTTTTGCTATTATTACGTATTTTTAGTAAGATAGAATTTGTTCACCTATGGCTATGTCAGTGATATAATTGAAACTTCTTCTGTTAATTAAGTTCCAATTCACAGTAGGACAGTTCTTCTATGTCTGATACCAAAATAAATGTATAGATAAGGCTAATAAACATAGTGTTAAATGTCGTGTGGATAAGTTTTTCTTTGATATGATAGAGAGAATAGGAAAATAAAAGAGAGAAATATTTCATCATCATGATTAGCTAAGTTGAATGAAAGTTTATTTTGACGTTTGAAATCTCAATGGGTGATAAGAAGAAGAAGAAAAAAAAGATGTAATTCTTTCAACAAGTTTCGCCACTACTATTTGTTTATCAATCTGTTAATTTTTATTTTTTGAAAAACATAACCAAAGACTTGAACTATCCAGTCAGATTTGAATTGAAATGAGAGACACTGAAAAAATGTAAAGATTTAAACACTATTCGATTGTGAGATAAGGATCTAGCAAAGAGTAAGATTTTCAAACACTATGAGTCAAATGTCAAAAGTTATTTCACGGTGTTCTCAAGTTTTTGTTGTTGAAAGATTGAGAAATCTTAACATCTCTTTATTTTATCTAATAAACATCGTATTTATTATCGTTTATTCTCTGTTATATCTGATGTGTTTATGAATGAGGTCATGTATAATCTTCTTATATGTATGTACGTATATCTAACACTCATGCTGGCAGACAAGCAATCGTTTTTGTAGATTTTCTCTTTCTCTCGCTTTTTTTTCTTTCTCTTTATCTCTGTAAACATGGATAACAGGACGTGCTGTGATCAATTGAAACCGTTACAGAATATATTTTTAAAAAATCCAAAGAAAAATACTTTATTCAAAATGAAACTATTGTTTTTGAAAAATAAGCTTATCAATAGTGAACGTGTGTGTGTATACTTCACAAGGCTAACGAATAACTAACGCTTTTATTTTTGTATCTATCAAAATAAAAATCCTGCATTTACCCCACTTCAAATTAAAATACGTTACAACATGTATGTCTTAGGTAATGTTATTATTGTTCTAATATCAAGTGCGTACGTATGATGTTGTTTCATTTCAATTACTAACAAATGTCAGTATGAAATAATTAATATAGATGTTTGATTGATTTTGTCTGTAATATTACATTGCACTTGTGATGATATTATAAGAAAGATTTTTATATATTCTAATATATGATTGAATAAACGTTTACATACGAGGTTAATAAAAACAATAAATGAAAACTTATTCTCGTATCTAATGCAGATTACATAATCATTATTCCATAATTAATAAGAGAAATATGAGCATGATGGCAAACGTACACATATTTCTCAGATCAATTTAATACTAGTTGATTTCATTACACACACTTATATGCTAATATAATTACAAATTTAAGTGATGACATTTAACATTTATTTTTTTATTTTTTGTTTCAGGTTTATTCAACCGATGATTATAATCCAGAAGATGTACGATATTCAACAAAGTCTTTATATGGCAATACGAATGAATCACCTTATTATATTGGTAAGATTTTAAAATTGACTTTCGTTAATATTGTTTTTATTACCGTTTATCTATCATTTTAGATAGTCAAAATCCATCTTGGATTAATGGAATGCCAACACCTTCCAATTATTTACCAAATGATAATCATTCACAATTTAGTGACTCAAATGCATGTTTACCATCCATGGCCAGTTTTCGATCTGGTACATATGGTTCAAATGGAACAGAGCAAACAGTACAAACAGGAGAAGCATTAGGAAAAGCATTACAATCTGTACGTCTTAAACATTTTTTTTTCCTTACAATATACATTATTATTAATTATGTTGTTTTAGATTTATCCGAATGATATTCCAAGCAATAATAACTATTCTTCTACACCATCGTCTACGCCTCCACTCAACGGTATAGACCTTTTTCTTTGATAAATAACATTAGGTCACTTAACATGTAATGGTCTTTTTTTTTCAGGATCTAGTCAACAATGGGCAAATGCATCTCAGCAGTCACAACAATATCAAAATCAATTACATCCACTTGTACGTAGTTTTGTCTGCTTTCTTAACGTAATTAGATTATTTAGGTTATTTACTAATAATCCTAGGCAACACTTATTGATACAACAGATGAGCCATATTTTTTGCTCAATCTAACAGAGGTTTGTAGACGTAGAATTTAAGAGGTGATGGGGTTAGTTGTTGTTGTTTTTCTGGGCGAGGTGCTTGATTTATATTTATTTTTATTCGTATGTGTAGATTCAAATTTATTATTTCTAGTATAAAATGAGTATCTTTTTTAGCCTCCAAGACTTGATGTCGATGATTCAATACATATTCTACGTAGTAATAGTCATTTGCCCGATCACTATCATCATATTCAGCATCAACCACATTCACATCATACAAGTGGTTATAATATGCATCATTTACAACAACAACCACAACATTCCACAGCAGCATATTCAACATATTTAAATTCACATTTATCACCATCACCAATTTCGAATTCGATGCCACCTCCACCACCGCTCTCTTCAGCATCAACATCCCAATCACATGAACAACAATTGAGAAATCGTCATCAAAATCTTACAGCAGACACTTATTCAAGTTGTAAGTTATAATAAATATTCGTTTTTCAACATTTCATCTATTTATTTGTCTAGCTTATTCAACTGTTGATGCAAATCCATCATCGACATCATCTACATCATCAACTGAAACGAATGATTTGAAACTTGAAAATGTTGATAAAACAAAGTTATCAACAAAATCGTTGGATGTAGAAAATAAACCACCAGCACAACAGTCTTCTACTTCATCAGTTACGAACAATGAAAAATTGAATGATTTCAATAGACAACAACAAATCGATAATAGTTGTATCGGAGCTACACAAGAGAATTCTACACCTCTTAGTATTTCAATCGGATCTATAGCAGGAAATATTGGCGGCAGTTCTTCATCGTCAAAATCGAAAAAGTAAGTTTTCATTTTGATTTCACATAGTTTATGTCATACGAGTTAGACCTTTTTTCGTATGTAAATTTTATAGGACTAGAATGAATTCATTTCATCTTCTCTATGTTTAGTAATTGCAACACTAGTCCAAACAATTTATCGTGTCTGACAAGAGGACCTGACTCAGCAGGCAGTATCGATGATAATGAAAGTCCAGAAGAACGTGAGAGACGAGAAAAAGATCGACGAGCAGCCAATAATGCGAGAGAAAGGTAAAAAGTTTAATTGATTTTGCAAATATTTATATTGCACATCTTTCTCTACTCACAATGAAACTACTTCACTCATAATAATTTTATTTTATCCATTGTTATTTAACAAAAGTCAATGTTCCATTTAAAGTGTTCAGACACATTATAACGAAATCTATCAGTAAAAAAATTTTATTTTAGTTTTTTTCTACTAATTTCTTGATATCATTCTATTATACTTGTTGATTTCTTTCTCAAATTGATTATATTATACTCATAATATATTACAACAGTTGAATTATATAATACAATGATTATAGAACACTTAGGCTTATAAAGGAAAAATGAATAAAACAAACATATGACATTAATATTCTAGACTTCGTGTACGAGATATTAATGATGCCTTTAAAGAACTTGGTAGAATGTGTTCAATTCATATGAGAAATGATAAACCTATTACAAAACTTGGAATTTTACAACAGGCCGTTAATCTTATTACATCTCTTGAACAACAAGTCCGAGGTAAAACCAAAATCTTCACTAATTCAACTAACTAAATAACAAACAACACTTGTCTTGAAAAGAAGAAGAAAACAAAAATAATATCCATCCATTGGATCTTAATTCTAATGATATATAAATATTTCGTTTATCGACGTTCATTTTTGTTCTACCATTCGTTCATGCCCACTTTTTTTTACACGGTTTGACATTTTTCTTTTTACATTTTTTTTTTTTTAATCGACAAAATGAATTGACAATAATTCCATGTCGGTGTTCTCACACATCCTTTGCTATAATTATTTTTGTATAATCTTCTGTTGCGTAATTCTTGCGCACAGTTGAATCTGTCCCATTTGAAAATCAAATATTGACAAAGCGCATTTGACACTAATGAATAAGAGTCGACATTTTTTTTTTTTGCTATTATTTTGCTTTTAGGTTGCGTGTACGCGACATAAATGATGCATTCAAAGAGCTCGGACAAATGTGTAGTATTCATCTAAAAACAGATAAACCACAAACTAAACTTTCCATATTGCAACAAGGTGAGGTTAGGATTCTCTAAGTTCATTTACTAATCGTTTATCATATGTTTAAATGAGTATTAAATGATTTTTGATTCTGTTAGCGGTTGCTGTTATAACAAATCTCGAACAACAAGTTCGAGGTAAGTACTTTGAGAAAAAAGAGAAAATATTCGGAATAGTTTTATTTTTGCTTTATTATGTAATTTTTTTCGTTTATTTGATGGTTTTTTTTACACTTTTAAATCGTTTAAGTTAATTATTCAATCGTTAAGAAAATAAGATTTTTTTCTCCCATGCATGATTCTATGTATCTATATATATATGGAGTACGAAACAATAAATGAACGTCACGACCATTTCCTATTTTTGCATATTTTTGTTTTCTTTTTTTTGATTTTTTGCTGCATGTATTTAGATTATTTTATGTCATGATTCAAAATCTTTATTGATTATTTCATTATTTAGAACGTAATTTGAATCCAAAAGCAGCTTGTTTAAGACGACGTGAAGAAGAAAAAGAGGATTTAAATGGAAGTAATGGCGGTGGAAGTGGTGGCATAAATAATAGTGGTCAATCACTTGTTTCTCCTTCACCATCTTTGGATGGTAATACGAAATTCATAAATCCCATGCATCATTCTATACCTCCAAATTATTGGCAAGGAGTATGAAAATAAGACTTGATTGATAGCCATTAGAGTATGTTTGTAAGTATACACATGTCATTTTTTTCTTAATTTAAATTATTATTTTATTTTCTATTTTAGTTTGTGCATATTGAATTGATTGTATTAGCCGTAATGCTCCTGCTTTAAAACAGCTGGCCGTTTCATACTGTATATGTATATGTGTGTGTGTATATGTGCATGTGAACGATGAAATGCATTGTCCATTTTCAACATATTCGGTGCCTTTAATGTTTTGTTTGTTTATTTGCTTGTTTGTTTCTTTTCTTTTCGTTCTTTTGTTTTGCTAATATATAAATATACATAAAATTATTATTTGTTTTTTAGTATGTTTGATGTATTTTGTTTTTGTGTATGTAATATAATATGTAAGGAAGACATAGTATTGTACGTGGGACATGTTAGCTGCTAATATCATCTTTCTTCTTATCACCGATGTTTTTTGACAAAGCATAAAACAATCCTCATTGTCCATGTCGCAGCGCCTTCCTTTACAGTATTTTTATTATTTGTTTTCTCTTTTTTTTTCACGTTTGTTTGTTGTTATTGCTTTCTTCTATTATTGAGAAGCGAAAGAATCTAAAAAATGACTCTTAATTTTTTTTTTGTTTTTTATTACTGTAAGTTTTTGAGTACTGAAATTTAACGTATGATATTCAGCAATCAGACCGACTCGCGTATGCACTTTTATTTTTATTATTCTATTGTGTTACTTAAGCAATAATATGAGAAAAAGATATGAGCATGCCTCTCAAGTGATGATCTCTCTCTTCTCGTCTCTATCTTTTTATTGGTTGTTGCTTTCTATCAGATCAGAACGCTCTCATTTATCTAAGATCTGTATGCAAAGAACATGTGTGTGTATGTGCAATTGGCCACTTATGTGAATATTCATATTAGTCTGCCATTAAATAATAACGTCTGTTGTGTATTTTATTTTCTCTATCTCTCTCGCTAAGTCTGTACAATTCTCGTTTTTTTCTCTTCTAGGAATGTTTTTCTTTTTTCTTTGTCTATTGTTACTGTTCTCTTTTTTTTTTTTGTCTTATCTACTGATGTTAACACTAATATATTATAAACTATTATTATTATTATTACTCCTATGATGTCGACCTAATCGAATTTGTGCATTTGTGTTCGGCTTTTTTTGTTTATCTTTTATCTTCTATTCTTGGTCAAAAATTGTTGAATAATAAAAACGACACAAATGGCCTCAATATATTTAGGTAAAGAAAAACATAGTAGCAATAGTTATATACAAAAAATAGAAAAATATCACATTGTAATTTTGTGCACTTTTATCCATGTACTCATGTATCCCATTTATACTTCGAGACCCTTGCAACAAAAAAAAATCAAAATTCTAAAAAACTCTTAGACGAAGATTTGTTTCTGGTGCAATGGCTTGCCGAAATTTTTACTTCGTTTAATAGGTAATATTGATTTCATAAGTAGTTTTTCTGATGATAATCTCTACTCTCGGGCATCACTATATAGACTATTGTTTAATAGGAAGAACGTAGTTTCTGGCAATGTGGTATGTATACAGTAAGAGTCTCCGATCTTTTATATACCGGATATTTACGCTTACCATATCTACGATGACATTTTTTCCCTAAAACTGCAATATACTGTGGCAAATTACTAATAAAAATATTTCTCTAATTTGGCATCTTATAAAAATATGGCACTTGCCTTTGATCAAATCTGAAGTTTTTACTCTATAACCGTTTGTGAGAAGAAAACCCTCAAAAATCATATCTGATAAGAGGAAAACGACTCTTTATATCTTTGTCTTTATCTTTTCTCGTTTTAAACGACGAAACTTTATCATAATTCATAGTATTGTCACACAAGTAACAAGATAGACACAGATGACTATGTATATTTATTAAACATATACATCCTGATTTTCAAGCTGAATTTGAATGGGATAGTTCCCTAAACTTAAACATATTAATGAGGAAAGGAAAAAAACAAAGATTGCCTAAGTAACGAGTGAACGGGCAACAGGTCATTGCTGAAACGGGTCAGTTTAATTAGCACAGATAATGGTAGAATAAACGCTAGAGACCATTGGTAAACGATGGATTTAAAGTGAGATCTGTGTGTTAATAATGAGCAGTGTCTGTATAAAGCAACCCAGAATAGACGAGATATTGCTTGAGTCATGTATGAATTCGCTACTGCACGTGGTCCGACAAAACTAAAGTAAGCTTTAAAATCGACATGGAATATCGGTCGTTATTGAAACAAAATTCGATGTTGTGATAAAACAACAACAGATACTAGCTAAACAAGTATTCGAGACAAGTACATGGCACAAGTGCTGTATGGCGCAACTTTTTATTAAATGTTGTGAGTATTAATATTAGAATACTACCCAGGCCAAACAGAACTGCTCGTTAACGGTGTAAAATATGCCGTCTACGATTACCGTTAATGTACCGTTTTTACACTATTAATTTATGATGTGAAAACAGCCCGTAAGCTACGTTATGACAACGGTCTAAAAACGGCACTTAAACGGTCACCATAATTATCACATAATTATGTGATAATATCTTATTATATTCTTTCGTGTTTCTATCCGCGTTGTTTTTTTGAATGTATAGAAACAACTGAGTAGATGCGTGTGTATTCTATATAACGTAATATTGTTTTAAAAAAAAGAGAGAATGACCGTTGTGTATAGACTAGAATCTTTTTCTTTATAAACACATACGATTTCTTCTTTTCTTAACATACGATAGTTTTTCATCAGTTTTTTTTGCAAATTATGTGTGTTTTTAGATTGTATGTAAACTTACTCAAAAGTATTCGTTGTTACAACTATTATTTATCGCATATAGTCTAGTCATATCCAATGTTCATTTTTCTACGCAAAGACAATTTATCATTGTTAATAATAAACAATTGTTGTATTACAAATCAATACTGATATTAGAAACTTCACCGCTTGATTGACAACGCACTAGTTCAAGGTTCTCATTCAGACCATCATGTTTAATTAAATCTATACAGAAGATATGTTAGATTTTATGCATTATCTGAGAAAGATAAAGAGGTCCCGACCTAAGAAGGATATAGTTCAACTCGGTGACTAAGGAAAAGTTAAAAGATTTTATTTATCATAATTCTCTCTCTCCCCTCTCTCTCCCTTCTCTCTCTGCCTCTCTCTCTCTCTCTCGACAATGTGGTGCACTTACCTTATACAATACTTCATTTTTTTGGAATAATTCCTTTGAAAAAAGAATAAAAACACACATAATTTGCAAAAAAAACTGATGAAAAACTATCGTATGTTAAGAAAAGAAGAAATCGTATGTGTTTATAAAGAAAAAGATTCTAGTCTATACACAACGGTCATTCTCTCTTTTTTT